CACTGAGTAGGAGATGTAGTGTGAACCTCTGTGCTCTCGCTTGGTTAAAGTCGGTGGGTGAACTCTTGCCGCCATGCGTTAGTCAAAGGGGATCTGAGCGAGCGTTCAGGCTGCGGGGCTGCTGGCGTGTGCGAGGATCAATGAGCCGCTGCTTCAGAAGGCATGTAGAGCAGAGGAAAAATGAGCTGCGCAAACAAACATGACAATGAAGGAGTGCACCTCGGAAGAGATGCAGCCAGCATAAAATCACAGAGAGCTGGGGGTGGGGGGTGTTAGGCACATAAGGATCCGTTCTTATTTTCCACCCGACTCTCACCTCCTTGGCTCTTTCCTCTTCCATCTTTTAGAGTTGTGTTTCTCTCTCTCTCCCTCTCTTTTTTTTTTCTAGGTGCAATAGCTTGGAGGCAAAAAGTGTGACACGAGGGTCTTCAAAGAGTCCAGACTTATCAAAGAGACACAGAACGGGAGAAATGTGGAGTTGGGGAGAGGGCACTCTGGAAATGTGTTGGAGAATGAAAAAGAATGGAGGGGGTAGTTGTGAAAAAGAGGTGAAAAGTCAAGACATGAACCAAGAAAAAGAAGAAGAGTAGGTGATTGAAATGAGAGAAGGCAGGAGAAAGCTATTGTCAGACCTGTTTAGCATTCACTAGTGGCTAATTGCACCAGCAAAGCTTGGTAGATACAAACCCCTCTGTGCATTAGAGACATGAGAGCTTCTCCCTCGATAGATCTCCCTCCCTGCCTAGAAATGTGCACTCCTAAAGCAGAATGTTTAAAACTGGTATAGGGTTGTAGGCTGCAGCAGTAATGACACAGTAAAAGCCTGCATTGGCCGTACGCAGAGTACAGGGGATCGAGCTGCCACTTCTGATGACAAATCTCATAGTTCACGCCATTTGGTATGACAGCATGCAGGAGTAATAGGCTGAATGAATCACTGGTAGGAAAAGCTCGGCCTCGCCGCCCTGCCTGCAGTTTAAACCACCCTGTGTATCGGCTATACATTTGTGGACTATTTCACCTCAAACCACACCTTGTGCATGATGAAAAGACAGATATCAGGTGGCACTCCATTGTCCGCACAGAGGCACATCACTCAAGCCATTTTTTTTCCCATGTCTCTGTTCATGGGACTTCATTTTGATGTCATATCTCTGCAGGGATTATATTCCATATTCAGTCTATATTCAGTTTTGCATGTTTTTTATTATTCCATTTTCCCCATGTCCACGTTCTGTTTATTTATTTTTATTCAAATTCATTCAGGGCCTCGTTGTCTATCTATTCTACTTTGTCGAGTCATTTTTGCGAAAGGTAATTGAAACTTTCTTGGGTTTCAAGTCCAATTTAACAGCCAGTCCCCCAGTAACCCTTTTTACAATTCTCAATTTCTGTCCTGGAGACAGCAGATTAGCACTCACCCTCTCCAGTTACAGTCTCCAGTCCAAAACCCTCTCCAATCCAATGCCCCCCTGCTTAGTTTTGTGCCTCTTTCTCCAAAGCAAGACTGTATGCCTGGACCAAACTTCTCTCTCTAATTCAAATCCCTTTACAATCCGAGACTCTCTGCCTAGTTCTAGACTGTCTCTCCAAGGCCCTCTCACCAATCCAGGGCCATCTTCAATCCAAGACTCCCTGTCCTGTCCAAAATTCTCTGCCCAGTCCAAGGCACTCTCCAATCCAAGACTCTGCCCACTCCAGGTCTCTCTACACTCTTAAAATTCTCTCTCCAGCTCCTCTCCCAATCCACTCTATTATGAGACCCTCTCTCCACAGTACCAAACTCCAGTTATCCAATTCACAGTCGTCAGAATTCATGCGGGTCGATTCTAATCAGGGATCACTTTATTCCAGGCATCAGTGCAAAACTCAAGCCAGCTAGATTGGAGACTGTCCCTCTTACATCGAGAGCCAATGCTCTGTTCTTTTATCTTGGTCCTGCTTTGCCGAGACCCCCAGTACAACAACCCCCCTCCCAGATCTGCAGTGCTCCCCCTGTAGGGAGAGAGACTGGACTTGGTGCTAAGACTATATCCCATCTGCAGAACTGCAGAGCTGCAGCTTCCAGCGCTAAGGGGGGATAAAATTGCTGACTCGCGTGCAATGCCTGTAGGGGCAGTTTAAGCAAGAATCCATATTTAAATTACTAAATCCCTCTCTTAGGTTTAAATAGCAACGTGTCTGAAGTACAATTCCAGTCGCGGAGAATGCCATTATTCCAGGATGGTACCTGGGATGGCAGTGATATTAGCAATTAAAATATCATAACCATTATAATGCGCTTTCCCTAATAAAACCGCACTTGAGGATTTTTCTTTTCAAAGTCCCTTACTGTAGATCAAACACTACAATTTGCATACTACATGTGGCCTTGTAATCACTACATCCCTTTACAGTGATCAAGCAGTTCCATTTGCATTTTCTACAAAGCACGATAAGCACATTTTACAAAAGATAAAACTGACTAAAACGTGTGCCACCCAAAGAATGGTGTGCATGCAGTCCCTAGCAGATCAAAGACTACAAATTAATAAGAAAATTAAAAAAGGAAATACATTAAAAAGTTTCTGCCCCAAGACAAAAAGCCCCATGGTTCTCCTTTGTATCTCTTTCTCTCTTCCACACACGCACACACTCGTTGAATGAAATCTTTGACAACAGAGGGACTCATGCTGCGAGTCCATGTCTGAGTTTGCTAAGGAAGTCGATTTAATTACTGTGCAGTGAGAATTTTTCGTCTACGCACTTCAGTGCCTCACTAACCGTAAATACCAGGGCACAAGGGAGCGCACGAAGAACAGGCCTACAACTCACATGAGCGTGAGAGAGTAAAGATTGAGCACAAAGTACAAATGTTCAGTGGAAGTGTATGGATGATGAAATGAGGGGATGTGTGTAAGTGAATAGATGTGGGATGGGCCAAATGACCAAGATCTTATATCACAGTAAAAGAAATTGTATATCATGGTAACAGTATACAGTATATCATAACTATCAATACAGTTAATGTTGCTGGAAATCCAACCCCTATTGTACAGTATATACTATATGTATTATGATATATACTACAACATTAATGTGTGTTTGTGTGTGCAAATTGTGTGTCCATATATATATATATATATATAGGATTGGAAATCGTAAGAAATATACTGGGTTTGGTTACGTTCAGCCTAACATTTTCTGTTCCATTGACATTTTTAAACAACTAATAAAAAAAATAGTGATAAGGAATATGGTTGGTCGTTTTAATTTTATCGATTCTGATTCTTATCGATTCCGAATTTCAAATCCAATAAGGAAAAAAAAAAACATATTCACATTTATTTTAAGTCTTATTGCAAAACATTTAATTATTGCTGATTATAATGAACTAAAAACTTTTAAAAACTAAACACCTATGGTTTGCAAAAACAACTAGCCTAACTAATATAAATTTCAAACAGTGTTAAAGACAAATAAACACTCAAAGAACAAGTAAAAAATGATCAATTGATCAATTACAATTGAACTAATATATGATTGAAATAAACAGTATTTTGAAATGTTCAGGTATTCAGGTTCAAATGTAAAAACTCTGCACTTTATAAATAAAATGTATATTACAAATATAGTTACTAAAATTATTCAGTCAAGAACGAATTAATTTTCTCTTTCTGTTGTTCTTCAATTAGTGTAATTAGAGACGGCAACAGGAACATTATGCTGCTGTCACTTTAAAAGCTGCACAAACATCCAAAGGGCGCTCACAAAAAAAAAGTGATTTGTGTAAATCGCTTCACACTTGAATGGTTTAAAATCACATTAAAATAACTTTTTCCATGTGCATGTTTTGGATGTGTGCAGAGCACAGAAAAAAGTGTGCAAGTATTTTGCGCTTGAATGGTTAAAACTACATTAAAATGCACACACAGAAACCGATAAGCGGAATCGAAATGTGCGTTTCTTATCGAATTACCGGTTCTTGGAAATTCGGAACCTGTTCTCGATACCCATCCCTATATTCTACAGTTACACCTGATGCACGCAGCTCAATGCAACACGTCCAAACAAAATCACTCCCATTATTATTAACAAAGTTGGCTATACTTGAAGTGAACATCAGTGTTTTGAGAGTATGCTATCATTTTTGTTCTTGGTGTTGGATTTTTAGAATTGTGCTGCGGATATATTCCGCAACCCTATCATGAATGTAAATGAGCAATACCTTGCATGACTTGCTATGCAAATGTACAGATTAACAATATTTGTATGTGCAATGCACTCCTAAAGAATTTGGACATTAGTTTTCGGGAGAAGTCAAGAAAATAATGCGCATACAAATTGATGAATGAGCTTATAAATAAACATGCTGAATTAGAAGGGGGAAAAGAAAGCCTCACAACTTTGGGATGGTGAAGTACGTAGCCTTAATGGCCTTTCTATATGTTTTAAATGGCCGTGTTAATGGGCTTTTTATATGAACTGAAATTGCTCTCTTAATGGCCCTAATTCCTACTCTAAAATGGTTCTGTTTGCCAGTCTGAGTGCGTGTGTGTGTGTGTTTGTACGTGTGTGTGCAGCCTGGCACTATCGATCCCTCCCTGCAGTTGTCGAGCTTTGAGCTCACACAGAATTGGGAATGGAGGCTTTTCTGCAGGATTCTGTGATTTCCACTGTTTTATGAGCTCTGCGCTTCTGTATTTCAGCATGAGTGTTTGCCCTCACTGGCCTTGTGAAAAACAACGTGGTCACCTAAGCAGTGATATCAAAGGAGAATTATATTGCTTTCCCCCTCTGCCAAGAGATACTAATAATAAGTGATTCCCTCTTTACCATTTCCCCTCAATTTGAACAAAACGTTTCCTCATTAGCCGCCCCTTTGGAAATTACGTATTGAAAATGCCCGTCTGCTGAAGTGTGATATTACAAATTTAGTGGTCAATTAGCCTAGTTTTGGGGCCTAAAGTTATAATTAGATTGTTGTGTGACTGAAGGCCCCTCTTTCCTCTCGATTGCAGCTCCCCCATCGCAGAGTGACGTTCTCCACAGCCAATCCCGTGCAAGATCAGCACGACTCCTCTCAGCAAAGTTACTATGACAGTGGCTTGGAGGAGTCCGAGACCCCCAGCAGCAAGAGTTCTTCAGGACCCCGTATCGGCCCCCTCGCCCTGCCTGAGGACCACTATGAACGGACCACCCCTGATGGCAGCATCGGAGAGATGGAACACCCGGAAACTGGTAGGAGCTTTAGACTTCTGTTACATCTCATTTGGCAGGGTAGCACTGGATGGATCCAATGCAAAGTCAGAGTGTTTTTTTTTTTTTTTTTTTTTTTTCATCAACACTGCTTTGTTTTGGCCGTATCTAGATCTATGTGTTTGGGGTCAGAAGCAGACTCAGCAGGGTCTGTGTCTTGCCCATCAGCAAGCCCTCAATCACAACAGCAAATCATTCTTAATGACCCTCTCACACAAGTGTGCTAATTAAAAACTCCGACTAATGGAGCTTTTGGTCTCCAAATAAATCTGCACTTTGACGTCTGCCCAGACAACAGTGTGCTGATCGTAAACAGCTTCTTTGCTCAAGCCAAACTGCTCTCGCAGCACAGCTGCTGGGGTCATAAAACAATAAGACGGAAAGCGAAACCAAAAAAAAGAAAACGCAACGACTAAGCAGGATAGTCTAACGTCAATACCACTCAGCCATTACTAAATTCAGCAGGAGACGTACTAGACATGCTTTCTGTAATTCATTTATATTGTCGTTCTCATAACCAGAAACATCCTCTCAGCAGCTGCCATTTTAAATGTTGCCCTCGCAAATTTGTCCCTGTTCAATTTAATCTTCATTACAACAGCAATGCTTCCATTATACCACTTTTTCGCACCGATCTCCTTCAGATTTTTTTCTCTATTAGGGTTGAATTAACATGCTGATATTCCTCTGGATGCCTCTGAGCTTCTGTTAACATTTTAGCTGTGAAATATACTTCAGTCTTCTCACGTCAGTGTTTTAACATGCTCTGTGAAACACAAAGTCCTGTTGATTTCACAATGGGAACCTACTCCACGTGTAGGGGGTGTCTGCCAGCCCCACAGACATGCATCAGATTCTAGGGGAACCGTTTAGGAAGTGAAATGTCAGCACCGCATGTGACTGGCTCTGTGTTCTGCAGTGAAAATCCTATGGCAAATCAACACATGACCTTCTGTTTGTTCATTGCCTTTTCGGTCTCACCTATGTCTGATGTGTTATCTTCAATATCTTCAGGAATATGAGAATAAAGGGCCTTTGAAAGGTATATTCCAACCCCAAACAATATCAGAATAATAATTATAACAATAAAAAATATTATTTGATTATTCCCTCACCCTCATGTTGTTCAAAACATGTTGTTCATGTTGTTGTATATTTTAAAAACTGACATTCCCTTTCAATTGGCATCTCATTCCCGTCTTTGGGAAGCGGGTTACATGCGTAACCTGAGACTTTTTTATAGGGCTATCAACATCTGAAAAGAACTAAAAGCATCATAAAACATTTGGACTATCAGTCTTCTGAAGCCATTTAATAGGTTTGTATGATGAACAGAAATTTATGTCATTATTCACTGAAAATCTTCATCTTCTACACCATGGGTCTCAAATCAAATTTGATGCATTATCAGTAAGGGATCCAAACTCATTAGAGATGCAAAAGATGTGACCCTAGAACAAAGACTCTATAGGTTTTGTTGTTTAAACAATCTCAATTTCTCAGGCCACTTTTCTAATGGAACCCACAGAATATGATTACATTAATATTGATTTTTTGTTGATATATTGTTAATTTTATATTATTATTACTAATATATTATAAAAATTAAAGAAAAAGAAAAAATATATATAATATATATAAACTCACCTAAAGAATTTTAAGGAACACCTGTTCAATTTCTCATTAATGCAATCATCTAATCAACCAATCACATGGCAGTTGCTTCAATGCATTTAGGGGTGTGGTCAAGACAATCTCCTGAACTCCAAACTGAATGTCAGAATGGGAAAGAATGTTGATTTAAGCAATAAATCAAGAGCTTACCAAAATTGGACAGTTGAAGACTGGAAAAATGTTACCTGGTCTGATGAGTCTCGATTTCTGTTGAGAAATTCAGATGGTAGAGTCAGAATTTGGCGTAAACAGCATGAGAACATGGATCCATCAGGCACTGTGCAGGCTGGTGGTGGTGGTGTAATGGAGTGGGGGATGTTTTCTTGGCACACTTTAGACCCCTTAGTGCCAATTGGGCATCATTTAAATGCCATGGACAAAATGTTTCTGACAATATCCATTCCTTTATCGACACCATGTACCCATCCTCTGATGGCTACTTCCAGCAGGATAATGCATCATGTAACAAAGTACAAATAATTTCAAATTGGTTTCTTGAACATGACAATGAGTTCACTGTGCCAAAATGGCCCCCACAGTCACCAGATTTCAACCCAATAGAGTATCTTTGGGATGTGATGGAACGGGAGCTTCGTGTCCTGGATGTGCATCCCACAAATCTCCATCAACTGCAAGATGCTCTTCTGTCAATATGGGACAAAATTTCGAAAGAATGCTTTCAGCACCTTGTTGAATCAATGCCACATATAATTAAGGCAGTTCTAGAGGCGAAACAGGGTCAAACTCAGTATTAAAATGGCGTTCCTAACAATCCTTTAGGTGAGTGTATGTAATATTCTTCTTCTTCTTATTATTATTATTATTACCATAATAAGGGATCCAGTGAAATTGTATATATGTATATATAAATGTATTGATATTTAATCACATTTAGTTTTACTTAAATTGTCTTTTTGTCCTGTTGAAGTCTACCAATTATTGTTGTGTGTATTCTGTGAGACAACAGCAAAAACATAAGGGTGAGTAAGAAAATCACAAAATGTAACTCCTTTAAAGACTAACGTGGCACAAACTTGCATTGTGTTTTGGGGTAGCGTCACGAGAGTGAGAAGGACTGAGGATTGTTGGCATCTTTAATTTGATCCAGTTTGAACTGAGAGTGATCGAGTCTGACAGCACCGGCGGGTGGCCACGTACGCTGATCAGGCAGGGAGGGGAACTGTTAACCAGAGGTAGACCTAATTAAAATGTGATTCTCACCTCAGGGAGATTATACAGAAATCCCTCATTGAGAAACGGAGGAGAAAATGATTTTCAAAAGGCTGTTGTTCCCATTCCCCCCACCCCTCTAGCCATCTACCGTACGCCGCTGCTTCCTGCCCCCTATTTATTTTTTGCGGTGGGATTTGAGTGACAGGGTGACAAGCGGGGCTGGTGGAGGGTTTTGTTCGCTGCCGTTGGGCTGATTGACAGGTGGGGGGTGTGGGGTGGAGTGCTCGGTGTGTCACTCCGTTTAAGCTGGGTGAAAAGCAATATGTGAACTTCACACACACACACTGTTCCTGTGCGTCTGTGGCCCACAACAGAAATGACACCGCGGATCCCGAAGCAGTTTGGCCTTTGGTTATAAAAATCTCCTTTTTTATGTTGCTGATGTTGGCCCCTTCATGCAGGAAACGTTGGTGTTTTATGATTTGCTCTGACCTTTGTTACAGCCCCTGTAGATTCTCAATTCTCAATGACAGTCCTGGAACACAATGCATTGTTCTCTTACCTTATTTTAGATATACAGTGAACACCTGTGACCGATTCAGTGAACTCTAAACATATCGTTTCTCCAGCCCTGGACAACGTGTCGGATATCGTCCATCTCTCAGGCTGAGCAAATGGCAGATGTAATATTTTATATGCCCTTCACGGGATATTTGACACAACAACCATTGTTAGCTGCCATCAATACAGAGTGCAATATACATGATACCTCTAATCCATCCATAAGACCGCAAACTGACGTACCAAGAGCTCCACTAATGTTTCAGCCTGTCACTACATCTCTCATCTGTCAATTGACTAATGATTGATCGGTGTCATCTTGACAATGTTACGCAGCACATAGGAGAGCCTAGTGATTTATAATATGCATATACAGTACATTGCTTTCACCACAACAGCTACAAACTGTCGATCACACAGTTTGACATGTTGGTCGACAGATTTTTTTTCCAGGAGTGGGATGACCAGTACATGTACTAATGTTTACTGAATTATAATATAATAGTAGTATTTTTAAAATAGTGTCATTAATGTAATACTTTAAATATTTGAATTGTCCCATAGCAAATGGGAAATGTTTACTACAAAATAAAGTAACCTTTGCACTATTTAGCAACAAAGCTGTTATTATAGTTGTATACAGGTTGTTTATATATTATGTCTGTCACGGATGGAACAGGAGTCAGACAGGTGGTAAATGAAATAGTGTTTATTTACAGGTTGCAGATCCAGACATAGATATGACGAGTATACAAGCAGACGATATTCAGGATGGAACTTAGCGGAAGAATAACCAGAGTCATTGTTTACGGATGCGGATGGAGAGTCACTGGGAAAAGGATGATAACCAGAGACGGGAGACTGAACTTCCGTGTGAAAGTTAGCAGGTGATCAATGGATGGAACTCAGGTAGGTAGTGGGTAGGTAGTGTTATAGTCTGTAGTGTCACGTAGAGATGAGATCAGACAATGAGTGTGTGAAGAGGAGTTGAATATATAGGGAGGTAAACTGATGAGGTGCAGGTGATGGTGATTAGAACTCAGTGGACTGTGAACGAGTGGGAGGAGTGAGTGAAGCTGGTGGAATCCTGACAATATATGTAATAATTATAGTTTTTTTGTTAATATTTTGAATTAGATGTTATTTTAAAAATGTCTGTTTTCATTTTAATTTTAAGTTGTTGCCTTTTGTTGTTTTTTTGTTACATTTTAGTTTTAGTTATTTTAGTTAATCTAAATGAAAATGAAATTAACTCAAGGGGCCCTATTTTAACGATCTAAAATGTCAAGTAACTTTGTGCGCGGATCTCGGCGCTGGGATAAATGACTCTAGAGCTCGACGCAAATCTAAAAGGGGCTGGTGTGAAGTAGCTTCATTATTCATCGGTGTGGTTTGGGCATAACGGGAAACAAACCAATAAGAGTGTCATATCACATTCCCTTTAAGAGCACTTGTTCAATGGCACAATTCTATTATAACGGCACATTTACTAGGTGCGTTTCAGAATCAGTTCACATTCGAGGAGATTGATGTTCTCGTCAGGGCCGTAGAAGAAAGAGAAGTGACATTGGGGG